GGTATGCTGATGAGACAGCGGAAAGGTTGGTTGTGATGCTTAAAATGACGATCTCGTCATTGTGTTGAAGCGAGTGGCAACCCCGTCGTGTAGGACACTTTGATAAGGCTAATGATCACCAAATATAACCTATTACTAGTAAAGGTATTCTTATACTCACTGGCGATCTGCTCCTCATCCATCGTCTGAAAAATGGGAAAGGTTTCATTTAGGTACCCTAGTGCTATTTACCGAATATTAAGGATCAGTGAGGATTTTTGAACTAAGCTACGTTACTGAACATCCAACAGGCTTGTGTGAACTTGTTAGATAGGAGTGAATAAAGGCAATTTTTTTTTTGTATTATTTGACGTGCTGTTGGAGTGTGAGCCGGGTAAGATTTATGAAGCGATTCAGGAAAACCGGTTAACCGGACTTGAGCCCTGGTGGTGGGTGGTACCGAGTCTGCATTCTGAAGAAGGAGGGGTGGAGGTGTTGGTATTTGGAAAGTCATCTGTACCGTGATATTAGCACGCTTCTGGCAAGACAGTGACTGAATGAATGACGGTGAAAGTGCTTTCCTTTATGTCAGGTCACCATATCTCGATAGGAGACGTCTGGTGAGTTAAACCAGGAAAAACAGTTAAATAATCGTAAAAACACACAAAGTTAGGTTTTTATAACTATAAAATGCAGTTTGGTCGCTGCACGATCTAATACAGATATCCTCAGTATGCACAACTCAAGTCTTCTGTACCTCAATGCAGGCGATAAAAGTAGTGCAGAGTGCGGCATAAGTTTCTAATGCAGTTAAATATTAGTGTTAAAGATTTTGAAGCGAATCAGAAGAGGTTATCACGTGTTATCAAATGGAAACTAATATCCAAATTTCTTCAATAAAAAAATGGAAAATTAGAACATGGACAACCCAAAGCTAATTCAGAATTTCTAAGGAAAAAAAAAAGGTTTAGACGGTAACCAGCACATTAAGTTTGAAGCCGCTCAGAAGATGCGTTATCAAGTTATTAATTAACGTTGAAGAGTTAAAGACAATCTTATGAAACACTCAGAAATTATCACCTAAAAATACTATTTCAGTTTTCTCATTTTTTTTCCATAAAAAGGCAAACTGGGATCAACACAGGTTAAAATCACTCCAAACTATTTTTTAAGTAAAAGTAACCAGCGCTTAAAAGGACCTCAATGGAAATAAGTCACTTTGTCTGGCATTTTTGGATTATCCCAGGTTCTCTACACATATGCTGATATGTATGATAATCTATGTATTTGTGTATACCTGAATAAACTTACGTACTTAGTCGTATTCATGATATTGTAAGCATTGCGTCCTATTTACGCAGTAATACTCTAATACTCGTCCGGAACAGCAAAGCCATGGAATCTTGGCACTATGGACGAATACAATTCTACTGTCAACCTCTGATCCCACTTATGGGAATGATCTATCTGTGTTAACGGGTCTCGCCCATCTGTGATGTTGTCTTCAGCTGCTGCACATCTCCTCTACCTCAAGTATTCATCTCTCTCCCCCCTCATGACTCTGCTTCAGACAGATCAAAGCTAAGGGACTGAACACCTTCTATTAAGGCTAATACGCTGAACACATTAAAATTACCTTACCACTTCCACTGTCTCTGATAATAGTGACCTCTCTATTAGACTGAGAAAGGCCTGCTGTGCAAGCGAAACGTCTCGTCATTAAAGACATCCAGGAGTTGTGCATGATATTTATTGAACAGATTCACTGCTTACTAACATACCTCTCTCGTTGAACTCATCCTCTATATTTTCACTTAGTAATTTCCCTGCAGTCTGTTGCAGTTCTCCTCTAAACCTCTAGCTCATGTATTCCTGCTGTGCTCCTATTCCTGTCAATTGTTTTTCTTATAATTCATTGAGAAGCTCCGAGCCAGAGGATGGGAAGGATAACTTTAATTATTTTGAGCAAAAATTCATCAACAACTTCAAGGTACCCCATTCTCTCCCCATCTGAAGATACATGTCAAGCCCTCAGCTCTCACTTTCCCACTGATTCTAACTTGAGATGGTATCCACACAAATTTTAATGACATTCTGGCATTGTCTGCCATTTTTACATCTCTAATATTCTCTAAAATAATTTTAGTGGTATTTCTACAGTTCAGACTGAATAAGGCATCGAGTCTGAAAATACGACCGATATAAATCATGTTTTCATTACAGCCTTAATGGCGTTTGAACCAAAACATGAGAATGCGCAAGAAGGCTTTGTAATGCACAACAATTCCCTCTAAGTAGATCAAGAAGTGAACACAGCATGAACCTACGTTAGTGTGTCAGTAGTGGAGGTTATAGTCGTGGTGGTGGTAGACGGTGGAGAACTGTGTTGGAGGCGGTAGAGAGCTGTGTTGGAGGTGGTGGAAAACGGGAAGGGTCTAGGTGGAGAGGTGAGAGCGATGCTCCTCCTTCGCCCTCACTCCTGCCAGAGGAAACTGAACTCCCGGTGCCACCCGTGCCTCGGCTATATACGTCACCTGACCAGGTAATCCACAGTAATGCGGGGCAACCAATGGAACTCAAAGAGAAGTAAAGCGTATAGTAGCGGAGATGAAAGACAAGAAGAAAGGAAGTAAGTATAAGGGAGGAGAAGAGACGAGGGAGAGGAACTAGCAGAACTAAGAAAAAACAAGAGATTAGCCAGGCCTGAGTTCATGTGTTTCGTCAAGTTTACAGTGCATTACCATTGTATTATTGTAGCATGTACGGCATTACCTTCAGATGAGTGAATATGTTGTTGTGTCTTAAATGGATCAAGGGGGAAGTATTATAGAGATTATAACCAGTAAGTAAGAACGAATTATTTGTACTCAGAACTGGAGTATTTTCTTATAACGAATCTGATATTTCAGCAGGAAAAATTCTTTTTCTTATGAAAATACCTCAATCATCCCAGAACTGGGGCAACAGAAATTATATGCAGGGGAGAGGAAAAAGAGGGAAGCGGTAGTGAGAGAAACTTTGGATAACAATATATATTATTACATATATACATACAGCAATTTACATAACAGTGCTGTCATTACATGCCTGAGAATACACGCACCAACGTTGAAGATTAAGAAACATTTGCAACAGCTGGGTATCTTTATTGAAGTAGCGTTTCGCCTACACAGTAGGCTTCTTCAGTCAAATACAGAGGGAGCAGTAGTAATGAAATAAAGATGATGTAGTCAGTCCATCAACCTTGGAGAACGAGTGTTTGAGGTGGTCAGTCCCTCAGCCTGGAGAAGAGTTCAGTTCCATGGTCTGGAACTATATCGCTCCAGACCATGGAGTTAGTTCGAGAATTAAAGAAATTAAACTATAAGCACAGACAAAGACAATGAAATATCACACCCCTTGATGAAAGAGATATCAGAGGGATGTGCTCACATCTAATATACCTTCCAGCACCAACAAGTAGAAGAAAAAATAATTCAGTAGCGGTTGGGGCTTGATATTAAGAACAAGTGGAAGTTAAAGTGTCAGATGAACCAGAGACAGGAACTGTGTTCAGTGTGAGGGAAGGAGTGGGAACACACCAAGAAACGAGCGATGAGGCAAATGTAAATTCACATTTAGATGAGCATATTGCTGCACACCAGAGTAGTGCTATTTTTCTCGTCAGTGTATCTCACCAAACATCCAGTCCTAAATTTTTGTTTTTTACCGCAAAGTTCCCACCGCCCATCCATCCATCCATCAGTTTATTCTCCTACTCTTTCCTTCACACATTCATCCGCCCATTCAGTAATCTCTCCGTCTATCCATACACATACCTTTCCACAAGTTCGTCCACCCACCTTGCCACCCATTACCCAACCCTCTACCCATAACCCATCCCTCCACCCCCACTCCCCATCTCTCCATTCGTCCATCCTTCCTCCCTTCCATCGATTCATTCATAAAAAAATAAGAATTGTGGAGCACTGCAGTAGGCCTACTGGCCGATATTAATACTCTCCTTCTCAAACCCATCTTCTCTCATTACAAGAATAGTATACAATACTAACACATACGTATTTGTTCGACATTGTACATTGTGCCACTCGTCTGTAAGTCATATTTCCAAACGTATTTTCATATATTCTTTTTAAATCCGAATTTATGCAAGTTTCTTCCATTGTTCTGAGTTATCTCCTTTGAACTATGTACATATATATATATATATATATATATATATATATATATATATATATATATATATATATATATATATATATATATATATATGTCTTTCACTTGTATACTTCAATTATAGCTCACTTTGTTTACGTCTTTCAGTGCTCTCACTCTATCTTCCTATGAAAGATCATTTATGCATCAGATTATTTTTGTTATCCTTTGTATGCTGAGTAATGCATTTATCTTAACACTCATTCATCAACTGACTAAGAGACCAATCCATCATCTCATCAATTTGTTCATCACGTCGACACTGGCCCAGGATCATTAACCTGCCAGTCATAGATCTTTGGCAGTGAGAAGACACATGGACCATTACCACCGTGTGTGATCAGTCGGAATCATTCGTCTTGATGCGTTGTGGTGTTGCAGGTGGGAATGGAGGGAGGGAGGGAGAGGGAATGGGAGAGTGAGGGGATGTAAGGAAGGGAGAGATGTTTCAGGGAAAGATAAACGAGATAGGAAGGAGGGGCAGATGGCAGGGTAGGTGAGTATCTAGAAGTGGGAGAAGTAGGAAGGAGAGAGAGAGATAGCAGAAGGAAGAAAGGAAGAGATAAGTTGGAGAAGGAACATATTTTTATAATTTTTAGATACACTCCATTGCGCATCTACCTCCTTCCCCTCAATATCTGAATCCTCTCAACACCTCTGGAGTTTTATTACATATTGGTACCTAAATACCTATTTTGAGAGTAAGCAGGAGCAGCTGACTCGCGAAATCGTAATGACACGATTACAAACAAACCATACCATGGGCGGGGATAGAACCCGTCTGGAGTTTTATGGCTCTCTGATCGCGGGTTCTATCCCCACCCATGGTATGGGTTTTTTTTTAAAGAGCAACTGAAAAATTTCTTTTCCTTAAATGGAATTGGAGACACTTGCAGTGTCCAGCTATATTATTCTCTGAGTCTAAGGTAATTACACTGTGGAAGCAAAACACCTGCAATTTTACCTTGTAATATTCCTTTTTCAGTAGCCGTAGTCATTGTTGCTGCCGCCTCTGTCGCAGTCATTGTTGCTGCCGCCTCTGCCGCAGCCATTGTTGCTGCCGCCTCTGTCGCAGTCATTGTTGCTGCCGTCTCTGTCGCAGTCATTGTTGCTGCCGCCTCTGTCGCAGTCATTGTTGCTGCCGTCTCTGTCGCAGTCATTGTTGCTGCCGCCTCTGTCGCAGTCACTGTTGCTGCCGCCTCTGCCGCAGTCATTGTTGCTGCCGCCTCTGTCGCAGTCATTGTTGCTGCCGCCTCTGTCGCAGTCATTGTTGCTGCCGCCTCTGTCGCAGTCATTGTTGCTGCCGCCTCTGTCGCAGTCATTGTTGCTGCCGCCTCTGTCGCAGTCATTGTTGCTGCCGCCTCTGTCGCAGTCATTGTTGCTGCCACCTCTGTCGTAGTCATTGTTGCTGCCGCCTCTGTCGCAGTCATTGTTGCTGCCGCCTCTGTCGCAGTCATTGTTGCTGCCGTCTCTGTCGTAGTCATTGTTGCTGCCGCCTCTGTCGCAGTCATTGTTGCTGCCGTGTCTGTCGCAGTCATTGTTGCTGCCGCCTCTGTCGCAGTCATTGTTGCTGCCGCCTCTGTCGCAGTCATTGTTGCTGCCGCCTCTGTCGCAGTCATTGTTGCTGCCGCCTCTGCCGCAGTCATTGTTGCTGCCGCCTCTGCCGCAGTCATTGTTGCTGCCGCCTCTGCCGTAGTCATTGTTGCTGCCGCCTCTGTCGCAGTCATTGTTGCTGCCGCCTCTGTCGCAGCCATTGTTGCTGCCGTCTCTGCCGCAGTCATTGTTGCTGCCGTCTCTGCCGCAGCCATTGTTGCTGCCGTCTCTGCCGCAGCCATTGTTGCTGCCGTCTCTGCCGCAGCCATTGTTTCTGCCGCCTCTGCCGCAACAATTATTGTTGTTACAGTCACTTCCGTCGCCGTCCTCTTCCTCACCGAATTTGTTGCGAGCGCTGTAGTCGCTACTGTCGTCGTCGCTACTGTCGTCGTCGATACTGTCGTCGATACTGTCGTCGTCGCTACTGTCGTCGTCGCTACTGTCGTCGTCGATACTGACGTCGTCGGTGGCGTCATCGTCGCTAGTGTCATCGCCGCTACTGTCATTGTCGCTGCTGTCGTCGTCAGTACTGTCGTCGTCGCTACTGTCGTCGTCGCTACTGTCGTCGTCAATACTGTCGTCGTCGCTACTGTCGTCGTCGATACTGTCGTCGTCGATATTGTCGTCGTCGATACTGTCGTCGTCGCTACTGTCGTCGTCAATACTGTCGTCGTCGCTACTGTCGTCGTCTATACTGTCGTCGTCGATACTGTCGTCGTCGATACTGTCGTCTTCGATACTGTCGTCGTCGATACTGTCGTCGTCGGTGGTGTCATCGTAGCTACAGTCGTCGTCGCTACTGTCGTCGTCAATACTGTCGTCGTCGATACTGTCGTCGTCACTACTGTCGTCGTCGCTACTGTCGTCGTCGCTACTGTCGTCGTCGATACTGTCGTCGTCGATACTGTCGTCGTCGATACTGTCGTCGTAGCTACTGTCGTCGTCGATACTGTCGTCGTCAATACTTTCGTCGTCGATACTGTCGTCGTCGCTACTGTCGTCGTCGATACTGTCGTCGTCGGTGGTGTCATCGTCGGTGGTGTCATCGTCGCTACTGTCGTCGTCAATACTGTCGTCGTCGCTACTGTCATCGTCGCTACTGTCGTCGTCGCTACTGTCGTCGTCGATACTGTCGTCGTCGATACTGTCGTCGCCGATACTGTCGTCGTCGATACTGTCGTCGTCGATACTGTCGTCGTCGCTACTATCGTCGTCGCTACTGTCGTCGTCGATACTGTCGTCGTCGATACTGTCGTCGTTGCTACTGTCGTCGTCGCTACTGTCGTCGTCGCTACTGTCGTCGTCGATACTGTCGTCGTCGATACTGTCGTCGTCGATACTGTCGTCGTAGCTACTGTCGTCGTCGATACTGTCGTCGTCAATACTTTCGTCGTCGATACTGTCGTCGTCGCTACTGTCGTCGTCGATACTGTCGTCGTCGGTGGTGTCATCGTCGGTGGTGTCATCGTCGCTACTGTCGTCGTCAATACTGTCGTCGTCGCTACTGTCATCGTCGCTACTGTCGTCGTCGCTACTGTCGTCGTCGATACTGTCGTCGTCGATACTGTCGTCGCCGATACTGTCGTCGTCGCTACTATCGTCGTCGCTACTGTCGTCGTCGATACTGTCGTCGTCGATACTGTCGTCGTTGCTACTGTCGTCGTCGCTACTGTCGTCGTCGCTACTGTCGTCGTCGCTACTGTCGTCGTCGAT